CGTGTGAGGGAGGGAGGGCTGCGTCCAGACCGTGTGCCCCTGTGAGGGAGGGCTGAGTACAGACCGTGTGCCCCTGTGAGGGAGGGCTGAGTACAGACCGTGTGCCCCTGTGAGGGAGGGCTGAGTGCAGACCGTGTGCCCCTGTGAGGGAGGGCTGAGTGCAGACCGTGTGCCCGTGTGAGGGAGGGAGGGCTGCGTCCAGACCGTGTGCCCCTGTGAGGGAGGGCTGAGTGCAGACCGTGTGCCCGTGTGAGGGAGGGCTGAGTGCAGACCGTGTGCCCGTGTGAGGGAGGGCTGAGTGCAGACCGTGTGCCCCTGTGAGGGAGGGCTGAGTGCAGACCGTGTGCCCGTGTGAGGGAGGGCTGCGTCCAGACCGTGTGCCCCTGTGAGGGAGGGCTGAGTGCAGACCGTGTGCCCCTGTGAGGGAGGGCTGAGTGCAGACCGTGTGCCCCTGTGAGGGAGGGCTGAGTGCAGACCGTGTGCCCCTGTGAGGGAGGGCTGAGTGCAGACCGTGTGCCCGTGTGAGGGAGGGAGGGCTGCGTCCAGACCGTGTGCCCCTGTGAGGGAGGGCTGAGTGCAGACCGTGTGCCCGTGTGAGGGAGGGCTGAGTGCAGACCGTGTGCCCGTGTGAGGGAGGGCTGAGTGCAGACCGTGTCCCCCTGTGAGGGAGGGCTGAGTGCAGACCGTGTGCCCCTGTGAGGGAGGGCTGAGTGCAGACCGTGTGCCCCTGTGAGGGAGGGCTGAGTGCAGACCGTGTGCCCGTGTGAGGGAGGGAGGGCTGCGTCCAGACCGTGTGCCCCTGTGAGGGAGGGCTGAGTGCAGACCGTGTGCCCGTGTGAGGGAGGGCTGAGTGCAGACCGTGTGCCCGTGTGAGGGAGGGCTGAGTGCAGACCGTGTCCCCCTGTGAGGGAGGGCTGAGTGCAGACCGTGTGCCCGTGTGAGGGAGGGCTGCGTCCAGACCGTGTGCCCCTGTGAGGGAGGGCTGAGTGCAGACCGTGTGCCCGTGTGAGGGAGGGCTGAGTGCAGACCGTGTGCCCCTGTGAGGGAGGGCTGAGTACAGACCGTGTGCCCCTGTGAGGGAGGGCTGAGTGCAGACCATGTGCCCGTGTGAGGGAGGGCTGAGTGCAGACCGTGTGCCCCTGTGAGGGAGGGCTGAGTGCAGACCGTGTGCCCGTGTGAGGGAGGGCTGCGTCCAGACCGTGTGCCCCTGTGAGGGAGGGCTGAGTACAGACCATGTGCCCCTGTGAGGGAGGGCTGAGTGCAGACCATGTGCCCGTGTGAGGGAGGGCTGAGTGCAGACCGTGTGCCCCTGTGAGGGAGGGCTGAGTGCAGACCGTGTGCCCCTGTGAGGGAGGGCTGAGTGCAGACCGTGTGCCCCTGTGAGGGAGGGCTGAGTGCAGACCGTGTGCCTGTGTGAGGGAGGGCTGAGTGCAGACCGTGTGCCCCTGTGAGGGAGGGCTGAGTGCAGACCGTGTGCCCCTGTGAGGGAGGGCCGAGTGCAGACCGTGTGCCCGTGTGAGGGAGGGAGGGCTGAGTGCAGACCGTGTGCCCGTGTGAGGGAGGGAGGGCTGCGTGCAGTCCCTCTGGGACCTGCCAGACCCCCTGCCGCACCCGGCCAGCCGTGCTCTGTGGGACTCCCTATGGTGCCTCTCTGCTCCCACAGCCCCGTACATGGTGTGCTCCAGCCCTCCGCTCCTGGGTCTGAGTGGTCAGTGGGAAGGCTGCAGGGTGTGCCTTCCTCTTGCTGAGCCCGCTTGCACTTCAGGATGTTGGCTTCTGATCCCCCTTGTTCACCTAGCAGCTGGGAAGTCACCAATGCATGACAGGCAGACCCCATCTCTGTCCTCCCCTCTGCCCACCTCACCACTTCCCACTTAGTGCTCAGAGAGCCGGTCTTAGAGACGCTACAGACACAGAGTGAGGGACCTAGAGTGAGGGAGCCAGGCACCGGGACATACTGTCCATGATGAGATCTGTCCCAGCCATCGGGGAGGAAACAAGTACATAGCCAAGACCTCTTCATTTAAAAAATTTCTTTTTGAAAACAAAGTGTCACGGAAATGCATTGGATGGAGAATAAAGTGAGGATTGCATTACTGCTCGATTCAGAGACCAGCGGGCTCTGTGTGTCATTTTCGATAAAGCAGGAGCTAAAGATGCAGGCTGGACTTCCCTGAACAGACACCTGTGCATCTGACCGGAACTTCCCCCGAGACAGGAAGCTCTGCAAGCACGAAATCATCGAAAGGAGGGGAAGGAGGAAGTGCTGGCCAAGAGAAAAGAGGAACAGGCACCACCAAAGTGGTTTAAAACGGACCGGAGGGCAGTGGAGTGCCGGCGTGCCACTGAGGTAAGCAGGAACCCCCTGTGCTGTGAGGAGACCAGCTCAGCTTCATCGCTGACGGCTTTTGCCGCATCAAGCCTGTCTGGGGTGGCGGGGGGTGGTGGTGCGGGTGTGCTGCTGGTTCTTTGCAGGTGTGTCTGCTCACAATGTGAGGTTTGCTTGGCTGTTGCGTTGTTTCCAAACAGAAGGGCAGGGTCTGACTTTGAAAATCCAGAAGTTTATCAACAAGTTGTGATTTTAAGACAAATGAAGAATTGTTGGGTAACCTGTTGGAACTATTTTCAAAACACACACACACACACACACACACACACCAAAAAGTCTTCTTCCAGATTGAGCAAAGAGAAGCTTATTGATGGTGAGACTAAAAGGCTTTTGTTTACTGTGTTTTCATTCTACCAGGTCCTTGTGTATGTATTGCGGGGTTTTCCCGTTAACTTACTTTGAAGAAAAGAAAGGGTGCATTTATTTTCCTGTAGAAAGTCCTCTCTGTCTAAGTGACACATCTCTGACGAGCAGTTGTAACACTGGGGTGTCCTGCAGCATCCGTTCTGCTCAGAGCAGCATAGAGGTCAAACACAGCTCCTCCTGGGAGCTGAGGGGCGACTCCCCAGTGGGTGCCGCCTGGCGCCTTCTAAAGAGCTGATGCCTCTCACCCAGGGTTTAAAATTTGGCTCCCATGTGAGCAAACAATTGTTGGAGTGTGTATGTGTGCTGTAAAACAGAACGAGTGTGATCAGCTCTCCGCTGTGTCCGAAGTGACACGCCAATCCCTTGTCCTCAGAGTCGGGCGTGTGGAGGAGGGATCCAGAAAAGTGCCCGAGAGTCCGTCATGTGTCGGTGGGTTATGGTCCCTAAGGTGTGTCAGACACATTCACATCTAGTGTGTGTCCGCCTGATGGATTGTAACCAGGAGTAGCATGGACAAGGTCTCTATTGGACTGGACGAGTCACAGAAAGCCAGGACCAGGTTGTGGGCTTCCTTTTTCCTGTTCATGGTTCTATGTTACCTAAGGCAGGCTGCTCATTCATTAACCAACCCTTGATCAACTAGCCATGCTGGTCACAGAGGTGAATTAGATCAGCTCCCAGCCCTGGAGTCACAGCGACACGACAGCTGTGTGTGTCAGGAATCTGGGTGAGAATAGTGTTCCGAGGAAGAAGTTTTACTTGAATCTTGATTCAGCAGCTTCTTGCTTGTTAAAGAAGTGACTTACCTGCTTTAATCTTGTCTTTTCTCATGTGTAATGTGGAGACTACAGCAGCGTCTGCTTCGTGTGGCAGCCACAGGGTTGAAGGAGATAGTAATCCAGGGAAGGGTGTTAGAAGGTGACCAAAGGGAACTCTGAACTGGAGATTAATTAATTAAAGATGATAATCCTTTCACAAGCACAATGAACTATATCCGGTGACTGTATTGTTAACAATATTGCATATTTGAACAGATCTTAAAATTTCTCACCTCAAGAAAAAAATTGTAACTATGGGAGGCGATGCGTGTTAACTGAACTTAATGTAGCAGTCACTTCGAAATATACACACCTGTCAAATTATGTGGCACATCTTCAACATATATCCAGTATATGTCAATTACATCAATAAGACAAAAACAACTACTGGGTGTAACCATTTCTCTGTATGATTGGGAAAACACTGTGATATTTTGTTGATAAAAATCAAACTAGAGCATCAATACAGTCCTTTCTGTTTCTCTGTGCAATTTTAAAACATTGAAGAAAACACTCTAACATTTTAATTGAATGGAAGTTGTTGGCTGGAAGTTTTGAGAATGGTGCTAGGAAGGCTTCCAACAATATTTTGTTTTATGTCACATTTATCTTCTCTTAAGCATAAACTGTTCCCTCCTGTAGAAGACATATCTTGAGGTATATTTTTAAAGGTGTTTTTTTTTTTTAATTGATGTTTAGCTAGAAGAAGGGAGAGAGAGTGAACATTGACGAGAGACCGAACAACCATTGGCTGCCTCCTGCACTCCCCCTGCTGGGGATGGAGCCCGCAGCCTGGGTATGTGCCCTAGAACTGGCCACCTTTTGGTGCATGGACAACGCCGGATCAGCTGAACCACGCCAGCTGAGCTGTATCTCGAGTTCTGAAGCGTCAGTGTAAGCAGGTTGGTGCGGGATTGGAGCCAGTTGTGTGTTCCTCGTTCCTTCAGCATCACTGATGCCTCCTCTGCGCCAGGTCTCTGTTCTCTAGCCTGGAAAGATGCCCAGGCCTTGCTGCCCTGTTTGCCAGGGGGGAGGCAGCCTCCACTCCAGGCAGGGGTCGTCAGCTGTGTGGGGAGTGCTGTGGCTTGGGGTGTGCGCGGCGAGGAAATGCCCGCCTTGTGGGGCCCGAAGGCCCTTGTGGGGTGGGCCAGTGTGCGCACGCTGCCCTCCGGAATCGGGGTGTCGGTGGGAATGGAGTGTCCTCAGAGGTGACCAATATGCTCCTTCTTCCCCGCAGGCCCCGGATGGCAGCCCGCCCTGCCGTGCTTTCCCTGGGTTTTCTCTTTTGCTGCTGCCTGCCCGGCCAGGCGGCCTCGCCTCCCCCCGCAGCCCCGGAAGGACCGTGGGGCCCGGCGCCCCCGGACGCCGTGCAGCTGCTGTGGGACGGGCACGAGGTGCGGAACCTCAGCCTCGACGACCGGCTCCGCCTGGCCACCGCCTGCCTCCGGGCGCTGCCCCCCGCTGTCCTCTCGGGCCTCAGAGGGCGATGCCTGGGGGAGCTCCCCGCGGCGGCCTCCACCCAGGACCAGGACCAGAACCAGCACCAGCACCAGCACCAGCACCAGAACCACAGCCTCCGCGACCTCACCGCGGGCTGCGCCTGTGAGTTCCTGCGGGGCCTCGGCGTCCCCCCGAACGCCACGGCCTGCGCCGCGATGCTGCAGGGCTGCGCGGGCGGGGCCGGCGTGGCCGTGGCCGTGGGGCTGTCGCTGCTGCTGGCGGCGGCGGCGGGCGGGGCGGCCTGCGTCTGGCGCTGGAGGCACCGGGGCCGGCCGCCCCTCGCGCTCCCCGGCTTCCTGCGGCGGCGGCGCGGGCGGGGGGACTACTCTCAGACGCTCTCCGCGGGCCGCCCCGGCGGCGGCGCCAAGGCCCCCGGCCCGCACCCCCAGGACCCCCAGGGCCCCCAGGACCCCCAGGACCACTACGAGAACCTGCCTGCGGGCGGCCGCGGGCCGGGGCTGTACGAGAACGCGGGCCAGGCCGCCTGCGAGGAGCACGTCTACGGGAACCAGGCCTCGGGCGACTATTACAACTTCCACGCGCCCGGCACACCTGCCAGCCCGCAGGACGAGGACATCTACATCCTCCCGGACGCGTACTGACCGACTGCGGCCACCGGAGCCAGCCGAGCCACTGCCCTGGGCTTCCCGTGGAAGGTCACTGGGTCCTGCCCAGTCTCCGTGGGCGCCTGGGGAGGAGTCTCAGCTCCCGCCCTGCGCTCCCTCCCTGCCTGCGCCCCCCTCCTCTGCCTGCGCCCCCTCCCTGCCTGAGTCCCCCTTTGCCTGCGCCCCCTCCCTGCCTGCTAGGCCCGCAGTTCCCCAGGACGCTGCCAATGTCTCCCCGAAACACCTTCAAGGGCCACATCAGTCTGTAGCCTTTGCAGAAGACCTGATGCATTTCTGACTGCGGGATTCCTGGCTCCCACAGCTGGTTTCCATTTCCCTCCCGGGGACTTCTCTGCTTCCTCACAGCCACCTGGAAAGGCCCACTGGCGGTCCCTGCCCCCTTCCTGATCGCGCTCACCTGCCTCTGGTCAGAGCCTCTGCAGGGCCTGCCAGCCCAGGACACTGTCCTCCTCCTGTCCTGACCTCCGGATTCTGCTGCCCATTTACACACAGTGTGCTGTGGCACGTTATATGTGCGATGTCCCAGGAGAAGGCCTTGAACTCCTCACGAATGCCAAGTGCCTCACACTCAGAGTCCGCCAGGGTCTGGATCGAGTCCAAGGCACTCATTCCTGTTCAGGGGACAAGAATGCACATTTTGCTAAGCAGTTGTTGTTTGTTTTGTTTTTAAACGAATGTGTCCGTCCAAGGAGAATGTACTGAGTGCCTCTGTCTGCTTCTCACTGAGCTGGGCCGTGGGGCTGGGGAGAGGGGGGAAGAGGCCTGGGTCCCAGAAAGAAAATTCAGTAAAAACCAACAGAAGCCGTGCTGGCGAGTGAGCTGACCCCTCCTCTCCACCCCGCGAGGCTGGCTGGGCTGTGCCCGCAGGCACTGTTCCCCCACACACAGATGGACCCGAATCGGGTTCTGACTAGGTGGGCTGAGGGAGACCCCTGGGGACCTGTTCCTGGGTCCTGCCATCCTGTGACTGACCCAGCATCACGGCCAGTTGCAGATGCTCGTTCCTTCCAGCCCTCCCGCCACCAGTCCCTCCACCTGTGGGTCAGCAATGCCAGCACCTGCCAGGCAGCACCCTCCCACCCCTGGGCTGAGAGCCACTCTCCAGGGCCCCTCCCAGGTCTGGTCCGGCCCTGCTGGTGCCCCCTTCTGGTCCTGGTGGTCCCAGCCCTCTGCTCTGGCTGCTTCCTGCCCCACCTGCCTCCGTCTTTAATTCCTGACTTTTCCATCCCTCAGTTCCTTTTTGGCCAATTTTCTATATTCGATTCTCCCTGTTAAAACGATCTGATTTGTGTTTTGTGCCCCCCCCCCCCCAAGTGGACCCCAAGTGGCACAAGGAAAATGTATAGCAGGTGCTTTAAAGGAAAGAAAATGTGTTCTGCTTTTGAGAGCCATGGACTTGGGATGGAAAGCAGGTTTGGATTTAAGAAGGTCAAAGGGGCCTCTCTGAGGACAGACTTGAACTGAGACAAGGAAGAAACAGTTATTTGTGTAAATGTGATGGGCAGGATGGGGCCAGCTTAGGGGGAGGATCAGAGGCATGAAAGATTGGGGCACTCTGGGGACCTAAGACACAGTGTAGCTGAGTGTAGTGGGGGCCTGTGGTGGCACCAATGGGGGTGACACTGGGTGGGGTTGCAGGAGGACCCGGAGACAGCTGCTTGCAGGGCTGGTGTGTGGCTCAGAGGCCAGCACAGCAGGGATGTGATGACATTTGCGTTTTGAAAGGAGACACTGCTGAGGAATGAATGACTGCGAGGGGCCAGGTGGAAATTTGTGATAAAAACACATAAAGGTTAGAAATGGCTCCTTTTGCCTTCTCCAGAGAAATGGTTACAGCGCTCTCTGGACAGAGCACGGGGCCATGTTCAAGGCCCAGGAGGACGCCTTCTGCTAGAGGAACCACTCCCCAGACCTCCACAGCCCCTGTGACGGGGACAGCCTGACCAAGGCCCCCAGTGCCTGTGCTGGGAGGGCCGGGAGGGGCTGGGAGGACAGGGATCTGGGCGGCAGCAGCCAGAGTCCTGGTGTGTGTGTGTGTGGGGGGGGGGTTACCAGAGAGGCTGGCCCTGGAGAAGCCCTGGGAGGTCTGGCCTGAGCAGTAAGGGGGGCTATCGTGCAAGGTTTCTGTGGTTGAGGCAGAACCAGGATGGTGGAGCGGCCGTCACCTCGGCGCAGAGTGTAAGGCAGAGGGGGGAGGGGTTCAGGTCACAGCTGAGAGCAGGTGCCATTGCCGCTGTTGGCCGTGGTCCCAGAGCCCAGATCTGTGTCGCAGGCCAGATGAGCCCGCGCTTTACACCACAAGCCACACGCGCTGTCTCCTCTCCCTCCCCCGACATCCTTCCTCATAATCGTGGTAATGTGGTCACTTTTGCTAGTAACACAACACAAATCCAAACGGCTATTCTCAATAGATGTGGACAGACTTTCTTTATCTTGCAGAGACAGCTTGACTCCTGGGTCTTTAAGAAGGCAGAGAAATGTAATAAAGGATGCAGATAGGACACAGAAACTGAAGGGGTGCAGGGAGGAAGAGGGAGGAGGAGACTTGGCAAGGGGTGAAAACGAGAGGAAGACAAAAGAGAATAGGAAACAGGGGAGGACAAGCATGGAGCATGTGCTGAAAAGAGAAACTGAATACAATCTCCATTGTTCTCTTCGACCCCCATTACTGCTAACAAGGTTAGCTGTAAGAAGAGCGAAGTGTTTGCGTGTATAACCTGGTTGAATGCAGACACCAGCTAGCTGCTAGCAGATACCTGATCCCTGTGCCCTAGGCAGGGAGTGATGGGTCTCTGACCTGCCTGCCCGGCCTCCCACCTGCCTGAACTTGGGACATGGCTGCCTGGCGGCCGGACGCTCTTCTCGCAGACGCCCAACTAGTGAGCTCATCCCATTTAGCTCTCCCACAACAAGACACCTGCCAGCCAGGCAGAGGCTGAGGGAACAGTGTTCCAGAAAGAGACAAGGAAGCCCAGAGCATGGGATGTGTTCAAGATCCTGAAGGAGATACACGCCACGTACCTGTAGTGTGAGGACGAGAAAAATGAGAGGCAGGAGTCCCGTGAGCTTAGGCCCCTGGCACAGGGTGGGGCTTTGCCTGACAAAGCTGGTGTCCACAAGGCACATGGCTTGGAAGAGAGAATGACGCGGACTTTTCAGCCACTGGATATTGCAAGCCATGAATTTCTAAGCTGAATTTCTAAGCTGGGACAGAAGGTGGGAAGAAAGGTTCTGAGGTTCAGGATATAGACCTGGATATCAGCGAGCACTGTCTGAGTTTCCAAATAAGCAGAGCTCTGTGGTGTCTAAAATTATATATAGTTTATGGATTTCAGAGAGGAATGAAGAGGGAGAGAGAGAAGTACCAATGATGAGAGAATCATTAATGGGCTGCCTCCTGTATGCCCCCTACTGGGGACCGAGCCTGCAATCCTGGCATGAGGCCCTGACTTGGAATTGAACCCTGACCTCCTGGTTCATGGGTTGATGCTCACCCACTGAGCCATGCAGGCCCAGCTATGGAGTCTTACTAAGGCTCTGCAGCTTTTACTTTAAATTCAGCTCCTGCAATTTTGCTGTTTGAGATTCTCCCAGCAGAGATGGGAACTGAGCAAAGGAGAGAGGCTCACACAAAAGGAAGCGCAGGAGATGGTAGTTGCAGATGCATTCAAGGCTGCTGAAGGTGTGACTCTGCCATTGACCCATGCCGTTGCCATGGAAACCAATGCTTCCTGGCCCTGTGGTATTTCCCTTTTTTAAGGACAGATTGGCTTTCCTGAATAGTTAAGGCTGCAAATCGTGGGAGCTGGGCGATCCGTCACCTCTTGGACCCTAAGTCCCTGCTGGTGACAAAGGCAAGGGCTAGCGGGGCTGCCATGAGCCCCCCGGGGCCTGGAAGCTGCCTAGTGCTCCGCTGGTCCCTGAGACCACCTGCTCAGCGTCCCTGTATACCAAACGGAGCACTGTGTTGCTCAGAGCTCAGGAGGAGGAATGCAATGAATGAGGTTTGACCTCTTAGCAAAGGATTTTTAAAATCTCAAATCAGGAGATGGGAAACTCGTAAAGGTAGTGCACACAGACATCTGCTCTGGGCTGCAGGGATGGCCTTGGAGCAAGGTCCATCTGTCCTAGGGAGGATCAAGAAGACTATTGGGATGTCCTGAGCAAGGAGAAACCTGACATGCCATAAAGGGAGAGTCTCCTTCTGAAACCAAAAGATGTAAAAGCAAATGCAAAGGGATAATTACTTTCTCATTTGCTAGATCAACCAATTAAACCTCAGATAAACATTTGGAAGAGGGGAGGAAAAGTGCATGGGGAGAGAACTTAGAAAAAGTAAGATGGAGACATGCACAAAGAGGAAGCCTTGTTGGGTTCCTATAACCCCCTTAGTCGTTGTCAAAAGAGAGAGTTTTATAAGAAGTTGAAAACTCGGCCATCTGCAAGGCGAGGCAGGGAACATATGGTTGTGAATTAGGGAGCCAAAGGCCTGGGTTCTCGGGTTCAGCAGGAGAAACACTGTCTGAGTCGCATTTCCAGATGTTCTGCAGAGAAGCAAACTATTTCTCAGCCCTAAGTAACCCTTTCCCACTGTTTCTCATGCATCCTGCAGGTCTGTGGGGAAGGTGAATTCGGCTTAATTTTCCTTTTTAGTAAAAAGTCCTTTCTAGTGAAACATTTTTGTATGACGATACATCATATTAAAGGAAGCCGGAGAGGAAGTGGGACTCTATTCATTTAAGAATGGTTTTCATTTCCTCTTTTCATTAGCTCTGTTGCTTAACATAGCCATGCCTCCTTTACCCACAGGTGTTGAAGAGGAAAGCTGGGAGGCTCGATTTAGAATGAATCTCCTTGAATGCACTTAACAGAAAAATTAAAGCTGTAATAAAGGTTGTGTATTTCAATATGTGGGCTGAGATCCTACTCTTGCTTCCTTCCCAAAGCCCAGGTTAAATCCCAGGTCACATCTGAAGCCTTCTTCAATCCTAGCAGTCCAAAATGACCGACCC